CAGCGGCGCCGGACTCGCAGAAACTTAACCGTTTCAGGGTCTGGAGGCGCGCGGCGGCCGAAGGGACAACGCCAGGGCGAAAATTACCGAAAGTCAAGGATCGCGCTGTGGTCCGCTGGCTCTCGCCTTTTCGCCCAGCGGTAATCCCAAATCGGCCGCTTCGATCGTCCCCACCGGATCCGCAGCACAGAATCTCATTCCGCTGGCTCCACGTCTTGGTCTTCGCCGTCCGTCGTCACGAGTCGTCACGCCGTCGACCGTCGACGGGCACAACATCGCTCACTAGTCGCCGTCCATCGCCGTCAACCGTGGTCGCCTCGGTCTGGCCTCGCCGGCTGGGCAAGGTCGTCAAGCGTCCGAGCAAACGCGCCAGCAACACTCGTCAACCCGCGGGACAGGTCGGAGAACGTGCAGAGGTGACCAGTGGCCAGCAACACTGCATTTCTGCACCAATCACCATCTCGCATCCTCCCCCCTTGTTTATTGTGTCTATCCTGTCTGTCGTATTTTTTTTTCTTTAAATTTAAGTCATTTCAAAATTCAAAATTGTTAAGTTGTTCACACATTTTAATTTCGGTTTTTTTTTCTTCTTATTCGCGGCCTTTTTGTTATAATAAACATATTTTGTGAACACAAAAAAAATTTTGTTTCTTTTTTTTCGTTTAGTTCAATTTTTACAGATTTAACGACTAAAAAAACGTTAAAATATATATTTTAAATAAAAAAACTCGTTGGTCGATTTATACAGAGTATAATGGCCGTAGACCTGCAGTTTATGCGCTACACGGATATTAATATTATAATATGTTTCAAGAAATATTCAAGCCATCAAGTACTAAAGGCGACGAATTACTGCGGAATAATCATAAAATAACGTATTACACTGGCGGATATAACATGGACGGTTATATAAACCATACAAGAATTGTAAATAATAATATGTATTGTGTAGAACGCTTGAACGTTAATATTGTCAAATTGACTCAAATAGTTGATACAAATTTATTATTACAAAATAATATTTAAAAAATTCAAAATTGTATTCTACATAGGTAAAATAATAATATAATACTGCATGTCGAAAAATAACATTGTTTGAAAACATTTCGGTTTAGGTTGGAACCATTAAATCCCCACGTATGTGTTAATATATATATATATATATATATTTAATTTATATTTTCTACATAATTATTGACTTGAGTTGTAATATCCTAATCTGAACCAAACTTGATACCTATCTTTTGTACTATAGGAAATCACTTTTTGACGGTATGTAAGTTTTGACAGAAGAACATCTTTGTAAGTTTTGAAGGTACAGTGTACACTAATTATTAACATAGGCATAACATTAGATTTTGCACTGAAATAGGTACATCATTATACATACTACAAAGGTAGCAAATATATATTTTAAAGTTAGATCCGAATATAGAATATAAATCAATATTAGTTATTGCTCATATCAATATTGATTATAACACGTCCTTGAATTTTAAAATAACTTTTAGTTAAACATACAATGCCAAAAACAGTGTTTAAACTTTAAACTTTAATATTATGTTATATTTTATAGAAAAAATAAAAACGTGTAAACCATATTAAGTAGGTATTATAAACTTTAAAGTTTAAATATTAAATCCATACGACTATAATACACTCAATCATATAAATTAAATATGATAAAAAAATTAAATTAAATTAAAATAATCATCACGATATAACTTCGAGTAGGTATTTTAAAATTTTTGTCTCGATAATATTTAAATAATATGATGTTTACACTATAACCCATAATATACCCCGATAAAAAAATACTATGTATAAATACATAGGTATATTACAATTTACTTGTTAGCATTTATATTTTATTTATTCAATACGAGATCACATATACCTGCTATACCAAATTCTAAAAAAAGACATTCTTTAAAAATATGTGATTTCAGATAATTTTTATAAAAGTCGATTTTAACAACTGTGTATCAATTAAACATGATCTATTCTATATTTCTATGCTACATTGCTACTCACTACTCAGTACTCACTAATAATAATGAGGTGCCTGCATTACTGCAGTAGTGCAGTACTGCAGCCACAGAATAATATTATTCTGTGCTGCAGCAGGCTGTGGTCGCGAGGGGAGATACGCGAGCACTGATATCTATTACTCTGTGGTACAAGTGGGGTTGCCCCGCACTGTATCAACATGCGTTCGTTCTGGACTCCGTCGCAGGAAGGTTAGGTACACAAGTTTAGGTATTTGAAATGAAAGGAACACACAATGTTGTTGATTGACGCGGTTGCGTCGAAAGTCGTTTATTGTTAGACACCAAAATATAAATATGTGGTCGTACGCAGTACGACGATAGAGGGTACGTTTTGGGGTCGAGCGCATGGTCGTTCAGGTCGGCGGTATCGGATGTGTGCTCAATGCGTGCGCGGTCGAGCGAGCGTCGGTACGTAGGCGAGTCGGGCATGAGTTCGGAGGCCGTGGCGAGCGGTCGTGTACGGGGACCCTAAGGGTCGTGTAAGTGTAACACGGCTCGTCGGTTGTCGAATCATGGCGTCGGGTCGGGAGCGAAATACTCGGTACGTGTGGCTCGGTCGAGGGCGGTGAGCAAAGAGAACGATGTCGGCCGGTCGGACGGCCGCGTCGTGAGCGTCGGGGACGACAGAGATGGCGTCGCCAATCGGAGACGCGAGATCGATTAGCGTGGGAACATAAATATATAAAAATCACAGAAGTTGTATAAATAAAACGAATATAAAATAAGTCACAAATGACAATAAAAATATGGTTGGTACCGCGGAGCGTGTGGTAACTCGGTCGGTGAGAGCAAAGTGGTGATAAGCGCCGAAGTCACCACATTACTCCCCCTCGGACAAGAAAAAAACGAACCAGTTTTTTGAGGCGTTGGTCGAATGAGGTGCGAAGTGACAGCCGAAGATGAATGTTGAATGGGCAGGCGAAAATGAGTGTTGAATGGGCAGGCGAAATGTCGGTGGTCGTCGTGCGTCGATCTGCGGCGGCGGTCGGAGTCGAAAGTTCGCCGTACGAATGTCTACCGGGCTGGTGAATGTTGACGGGAAGGTGACTGACGTTGCCTGTTGATCGGAAGTTGACCGTCGTTGGACGCTGAATGAATTTTGACTGAACTGATGGCCGAAAAGGTTGACTGTAGATTGTGAGAGATGGCGTTAAAATTTTGAATTTGTGAGGTCCGAGAGATGAATGAAAAATGAGAAAATAAAAATGGCGTAAGGCCGAAGCTTATGGCTTAATTGTGTTTGCCGGTGTTCGCATGGTACACGGCGGTCGGCAGCTTTTAGCGTTTGCGCCGTACAACGTGTGGTAGTAGCACGTGGTGCTTGTGTTCGTGGCCGGCGGTGTCGGCGCGACCGCGGCGATGGGAATTACCATCTTTCTCAGTCGCTCGACCTCAATGGTGAGGTGCGCGACTTGTGCGCTCAGCCGATGGACCTGCGTACTCAAATCCTCGGATTCCCGCGACGCTGGGACGAGAGCGGCCGGATTCAGTCGTTGCCACCAGCTGACCGGTTTCGGCGCCGGTGCCTCGTGTTCGTTGTTCGTCTTGCCTTCCATGGCGCGTGTCGTAGGACGAGAGTTCGAAGATTGACAAAAGAAATGGCGTCTCGTTCGTCGATGTACGGCACGTGTTCGCGGTTTGGCGATGTCGCTGTGTGTGTCGGCCATCGGGGCGCGTGTTTTCGTGAAAAGCGCGGGACGTACTTTCTGTGGCGCTGCCGTCGTGGTGTCGGCGAGCGTCGCAAACTCGCATACCATGGTTGTGGAGATGTCGCCCATGTGATACCGGTGTCGTCGTCTTGTGTGTAAACTTGCATACCGTTTTCGAATTGAGGTCACCAATGTGGTACATTTGCTGTCGTCGTGTGTGTCGGCGTGCGCGTAAACTTGCGTACCGTTTTTGAATTGAGGTCACCAATGTGGTACATTTGCTGTCGTCGTGTGTGTCGGCGTGCGCGTAAACTTGCGTACCGTTTTTGAATTGAGGTCACCAATGTGGTACAAGTGGGGTTGCCCCGCACTGTATCAACATGCGTTCGTTCTGGACTCCGTCGCAGGAAGGTTAGGTACACAAGTTTAGGTATTTGAAATGAAAGGAACACACAATGTTGTTGATTGACGCGGTTGCGTCGAAAGTCGTTTATTGTTAGACACCAAAATATAAATATGTGGTCGTACGCAGTACGACGATAGAGGGTACGTTTTGGGGTCGAGCGCATGGTCGTTCAGGTCGGCGGTATCGGATGTGTGCTCAATGCGTGCGCGGTCGAGCGAGCGTCGGTACGTAGGCGAGTCGGGCATGAGTTCGGAGGCCGTGGCGAGCGGTCGTGTACGGGGACCCTAAGGGTCGTGTAAGTGTAACACGGCTCGTCGGTTGTCGAATCATGGCGTCGGGTCGGGAGCGAAATACTCGGTACGTGTGGCTCGGTCGAGGGCGGTGAGCAAAGAGAACGATGTCGGCCGGTCGGACGGCCGCGTCGTGAGCGTCGGGGACGACAGAGATGGCGTCGCCAATCGGAGACGCGAGATCGATTAGCGTGGGAACATAAATATATAAAAATCACAGAAGTTGTATAAATAAAACGAATATAAAATAAGTCACAAATGACAATAAAAATATGGTTGGTACCGCGGAGCGTGTGGTAACTCGGTCGGTGAGAGCAAAGTGGTGATAAGCGCCGAAGTCACCACAACTCTATGGTCCGTGGTCGCAAATGATAAGTAAAAGTGATAAGCAGTATATAGATTAAAATAGTAAATACTATTGATGACTGATAACAATACACATGGTTAATGGTTTTCCTGTGTTTCAAATATTAATTATTAGTATAGTTCTGAACATAGAAAAAAGAATAAAAGATTAAAAAGATTGGTTCTGAATTTCTGATGAACTTTTGAATCTGAACGACTGAACATAATACGACATTGCTGTAGACATTGCTCATTTAAAATGGTAAGTACCTATTTTTAATTGTGTTCAACAGTTTGTTCACGTTTATTTAGACTCACAGTTTAACAATCAGACACTATTATTATTCAATTGTTGGTTGTTCATTTGTTGCTTTAAGCCCCGTTCACGCGATCAAATATTTGACAAATTATTTCATTGTGTGAACGGGGCTTAAATGTATTACAATTTTCACTATTTACAATATGTTTGTAATTTCTAATTTCCCTCCGGAGAAAACTGATATTATTATAATTTATAATTTATTTTCCTATCTCATGGTTAGGTATCTATTGTAGATAATGTAACTAGTAGTAATTGAGAGGTTGCAGTAGTCTAAAAATATTAATTTATTTTAATAAATATAAAAATTATACAAATTTACAAAAATGTATATTTATTCTTAAATGAATATACTATTAGGTAGCTCTATAATAAAATAGGACTCCAACCAATATATATCTAATAAATAAACTAATATTTATCCTACAATTCTGAATTTTAGTCACTATAAAAATTACATGCATTATTCCAGACTAAAACCAAGAAAAGTAAAAAAATTCTTAACAAACAATTTGCTGTTATGAAGAAGACAATCAAACCAACAGATACAAGAATGTATGTAATTGTATAATCTTAAAAAATCTAATACTCATTTTTCCATAATATCTTATTTTAGAAAAGAAGAAAAAAGAACCATTATAAAGAAAAAGATAAATGAAAATAAAACTGTCGCCGTTCGTCAAGTGTAATTAATAAAATTAAATAAATTATGAAAAAATGAAGCTATTCATTTTATAATCATAAATGACTTAATATTTTCAGAGCTCAAACAAGTTCAGCCTTGTTTTTCCAGTTTAACACACAGTTAGGACCACCATATCATATCTTAGTAGATACCAATTTTATCAGTTTTTCTATAAAATATAAAATGGATGTGGTTCAAAACATGATGGATTGTCTATATGCTAAATGTAAGCAGACTGAGTTTTATTGTAATGTTTCTATAATAATTTTAAAATATTATTTGTTTGTAGGTATACCATATGTAACAGATTGTATTGTTGGTGAATTGGAAAAATTAGGACAAAAGTATAGAATAGCATTGAAAATTGTTAAAGATCCACGATTCCAAAGAATACAGTGTATGCATCCAGGCACGTATGCTGATGATTGTTTAGTTCAACGAGTAACTCAGGTAAGTGATTAAAATTAATCTATACATTTAAAATGTTATACATAAAAGTTAATGAAACACATTTTTGTTTTAGCATAAATGTTATATTGTAGCTACATGTGATAGGGATTTAAAGAGGCGTATTAGAAAAATTCCAGGTGTACCTCTCATGTATATTGCTCAAAGAAGGTAAGTGCACTGTGGATTTTCTTTATTTTTGTTCTAATTATTTTATTATATTTTTTAGATATACCATTGAAAGAATGCCCGATGCGTATGGTGCTCCTAAAAAATAACTTGTAATGTAACACTTATCAATAATTAAATACAAATTTTAATATTTTGGTAACTTGGAGTTTTTTAATTTAAAAAAATATTGAAACATTTTTATATACAAAATATGTTGGCTAATATGTTGGATGATAATTATTTATTTAACATGATTGTAGAGAAAAATTTTTTTCAAGTAATCTCTAGGTCAGCAGTGACATTACAGTAACCCACTTATAACCTTCTGTACAGCAGAGCGACATCCATTTGCCCACCTTTTTTACAAAAATATTAACAGTTTCATATGTATATAAATATTTAATGTTATCTTACTATGAATTTAACATCAGTCTTCAAAGCAAGTCCTAACAATCTAACATTTCCTTGTTGATTCTTTAAAAATTATTTTAATCAACCGGCTAAGTTAATGATGGTGAAAAACTGTAAACAGTGTAGATATACAAGCAATGCTTTAATTGAACCTGCAATTTCACTATGGGCTCTAGCCTAGGGGTCCTCCCCCCTATATACACCACTGGTAGGCAAGTTAGTGAAAATAATTAACTGTGGAAAGTTAAGTTAATTCAATTAAATTGCCTTTAGTTAAGTTAAAAGTTAACAAAAAAAAAAATTTAACTAGGTAAGTTTAAAGTTAATTTTTTTCAAGTTAAATCAAAGTAAATGAAATTAACTTAACTGAGTTTTTTTTTTTTTACTTTAGAACAATCAGCTATAGCTAAACTGAGTTACAAAGTTACAATATTTTTAAGTCATAAGCTGCCCTAGTATTTTATTATACACAAACATTTACCAAGACTTTTAACACTGTGTAAAAAATTATATTATTATAATATATAATTTGAAAATAAATTTTCAACATCGAAAAAGAGTCGACGAATCAGTATTGTCTAGTTGATTACGCATGACACGAAAATAAAATCAACTTGACTGCACAACAGTAATGATTAACTATAAAAAGCTAAGTTACAACAATAACAATTTCAACTGAATAAGTAAATAAGTTAAAAATAAAAAAAGGTGGGCAAGTGGGTGTCGCTCTGCTGTACAGTAGGTTACAAGTGGGTCACTGTATAATGGATGGTATTAAATTTGAATTCAATGATATAATATCATTGTATAAGAAAAACGATTCTGAGCGGTGATGGTATGTCAGTCTATGTATAAGGCATATTATATACATATCTATGGTATTAAACAAAAAATTGACCTATAATAGGTACCTATAATAAATTCCAAATTAATCATATCACAATATCCATTAGATACTTATAACGCGTTATACATCAACAAAAACCGTGATACTATCATAGATATATAATAGTACACTTTAGAAGTTTCAAGTACCCACGAATAGTATTATTCAATCACAACAAAATAACTAAAATCGTAATTCTTGGTTTAAATATGAAATTTTGTCTAAATTTGAAATTAAAATGTCTGTAAAAAATAAGTGTGTTTATATATTTTTTAGATTTTTTGGTTACAGTATGAATTATTTAAGAGAATCTTTGTTTTAAATTTTCAACTCTTAGTTATAAAAACTGAACATTTTATAATTTTTTAATTCCAACGATTGATAATTTTCGAGATTTTGATAAATTTTGTCAAAATTCCAACTTTAAATGCTTATAAAAAAAAATCGTGCCTATGTATTTTTAATATTTTTCAACTGATATTGTAACAATATATCAGGAGCCTTGTATTAAATTTTTACACTTTTTGGCCCAACAGATAAAACTTTATTGATATTTATAGAAAAAAAAACTAAAAAAAATTGAAAGCTGTAAATGTCCATAAACAGCTCAAAAAGAGTCAAAATATTTTCAAAATTGTATGGTGTATATTAAATGCTAATATAAACATTCAGTGAAATTTTCATGTATCTACAGTTATTCGTTTTTGAATTACAACAAAATAAGGAAATCGCTACATGAGAAATCGAGTGAAAATCCAATGTTGTAAAAATTTGAATTTCAAACGCTCATAAAAATTTAATTTGACTGTCCGGTAGAGATTTTTTTATTGATAAAGGTAGATAATCTTATAAGGAATCTTGTGTTTCATTTTCAAATCTTAGATTTAAAAAGAAAAATTTTTACGAATTCTTAACTCAAAATAATTTGCTAATTTTCGTGATTTTTCCATATTTTGTCAATTTTTGAACTTTAAATGCTTATAAAAAAAAATTGTGACTAAGGATTTTTAATATTTTTCATCTGCCTTTGAAACAACATATTAGGAGCCTTCTATTAAATTTTCAAGCTTTCGCAACCAACAAATAAAATTTTATTGATATTTCTAGAAAAAAAACTAAAATAAAATGAAAAATGAAAATGTCCCTAAACAGTTCAAAATAAATCAAAATATTTTGAAAATGTTATCGTGTATAGAAAATGCAAATATAAACAACCAGTGAAAATTTCATGTATCTACGGTCATTTGTTTTAAAGTTACACCAATAACCAAATTCGATTTTTTGGAAAATCGATTTTGCGTAAAAATTCCCGTTTTTCCTTAATTTTTATGTTGTTTTTCCCGGCGCTTGTGAAAACTACTGGAAAATGTTTACTTTTGACCCCCCAAAGTACCAACTAGATTCACTTTCCTATCAGAAAAGGTACTATTGAAGAAAATCGAAGCACTTTTACTGTCCCAAAACGTGATGACAGACACAAAAAAAAATATAAAAATATAAAAATATAAAAACATACATCATTGTAAAACCAATACATTCATCGCTCCCCTCAGAATCTAATAATTAACTAGCTAAGTTAAAAAGGTAAAAAAAAAATCAACTTTTTAACAAGTTAATATCCACCTTTGCCGATTAGTGATATAATATAGTACATACGGTAATTGTTTTCTTACATATAGTATTTATAATAATATATTATATACAATATAAATATCAATATAATATTATATACATTTTTTTTTGTATATAATGTAGATAGTCATTTAAAACTTAATCTTAAAAATAGCACTATTAATTGTAATTAATTCATTGTTATGTAATTTTAAATTAACAACTATATATTTTTTCAAATAGGTACATTTTTTTTTATTTATTTTTTTTTATTTATTTTTATACTACGTACATAAAAATTACTACTGATTTAATTGTTTTCAGACAATTTATTAAATTACACGTTCGTAGGGTTATAAAAGTCTTTATATTTGACAAATTCCTTTATATAACCTGACCATTTTTATAAATTACACCACGGCCACTAAATAAATGAAAAAGAACACAAAGTGGAATATACTTTGTTATTTGTGTTTGCTTTTCAAATACATGTCAACTATTAATTTTCTTAATAAACTGATACTACAAAAGTACAACATAATTAAATAATTTAACAAAAATACTATCCTATTGATATGTAGCCAAAGTCAGATTTAATTTTATGTTTTACATATTATATTTAAATAATTTAAAAGGAAATTCATATTCTATTTAATCATTTTTTTTATCATAAACTGTTTTATTAATATAATTTATTTGTATAGTTCAAGAAGTCAAATAGACAACCGGGTTCTTATTTTTTGTGAAATTTATAAAATGTAGATTGTAAAATTGGTGATATTTTAGTATACTTATACATTTAATCCATGATAGAGTAAATTTCTTTAACATATTATAATTGTTATATTTCAATTTTTGGTGCATAATTACATTTTTGTCTGTATTTATAGATATTAGGTGCTTGATTGTAACAAATATTAAAAATTATAATATTGTTATATTGTAAGTTAAATATTGTTCTTTTACATATTAAAAGCTTTTCATATTAAAAGTAAGCAATGAATACCCAATTTAGATTTGTTGATAAATAATTCATACATGTTAATCATGTTATTATTATCAAGATTATTTATTCTAAATCTGAAACTTAGAAATATTGACCACAGATTTTAGCATTAAATAGGTATACCATTAATAAGTACTTATAAAACTATTACTTGATTAGATTAAAATTTAAAATGCTTCATTTTTAAGTTAAAGTAATTTAAATTATTTGTGGTAAATAATTTATTGGTCTAGTATATTGCGAAAGACTTTGTAAATGGTTGGTCCTCACAATACTGTGACTGTGCTTGATTTTTCGTAAAAAAATACCAATTCTGGTCATCTCCCTGAAATGGACGTATTATTTTCATTTTCCCCGGGTATTAAAAAACTAAGATCCGGTCCTGTAAATTATAATTAACTGCATTGCATTACTTAGTTGGACAATGATTTCTTAGAAGCATTATACTTTTACCTTATGTGCCCGGGTAAAAAAATAAAAAGTTTCAATTTCCACGTAAATCTTGTCGTATACCTACCTACTTACAAGATTGTATATTTTAAGTTGCATAAAAAAAAGTGATCTATACTATAATTCTATCATAAATAAGATTACTAGGTACTAGTACTTTTGCATTAAAATCATGGGCGCAACTAGGGGTGTGCTTCACCCCCCCCTTCTTTAATTTAACACCCCCCCGTTCAAAAACACCAACAATTCAAAATCATTTGAAAAAAAGCGGGTAGGTAAGTCTGCTGCACAGTAGGTGACAAGTGGGTCAAGGTAAAATGGATTGTATTAAACTTGAATTCAATGATATAATATCTGAGCGAAGACGGTTTGTCAGTCAGGATTTATTATTTACCTATTATAGTCTGTTAGTTGAACTATTATTATAATATTACAATTTTTTATTCGTTTTTATATGGTGATAAACAAAGTATTAGAAATTAAAATTCCATTTTTATCGGTTTTTCGTAATTTGTCGGTAGTTTTTTCCGTGGCATTAAATAACTATGGAGAAAATCGAAAAATGACTTCTTTAAAGTACCATCTTGATCCAATTTGATAAAAGATAAAGTACTATATGTTGAAAATTGAAATTGAAGTACTCCTTCTGGTAGAAATTTTGTACACAGGATAAAAAAACTAAATTTGAAAATGTTTTCGTGGCAATAAATAGTTCAAAAAGTGTTAACATAGTTTGAATATTTTATCCTGAATGAAAGTGATAGGTATAATATAAATATTTGGTGAAAATTTCAAGTTTCGACGGTTCACGGTTATATTTTGTTTTTGAATTACATCTAAATTTTAAAAAGTCACTCTGCTGTACAGTAGGTTACAAGTGGGTTACTGTAATGTGTAATGGATGGTGTTAAATTTGAATTCAATGATATAATATCATTGTATAAGAAAAACGATTCTGAGCGAAAACGGTCAGTCAGCCTATGATATTACTAAGTATATTTGATGATTGTGAATAAAGTAATTTATATATACCTAACCTATTTAGGTGGAACATTGTTTTAAATTTTTAATCCTTAGCTATAAAAGTTGAACATTTTTAACTAAAAATAATTATTAAATTTGATATATTTTGATAAAATTCGAACTTTAAATGCTTAAAAAATAAAATTGTGCATATGCATTTTCAATGTTTTTCAACTGCTATTGTAACAATATATCAGAAACTTTGAATTAAATTTTCACTCTTTTTTTACCCAATAAATAAATTTTTTTTGGTATTTTTAGAAAAAAATACTAAAATAATTGATAACTGACAATGTCCGTAAACAGCTCAAAAAAAGTCAAAATATTTTCATAATTTTATGGTGTATAGAAAATGAAAATATAAATATTCAGTATAATTTTCATGTATTTAAAGTTATTTATTTTTGAATAACAACAAAATAACAAAATCGCTTTATGAGAAATCGAGTGAATATAAAATATCGTAAAAATATGAAATTCAAAAAATTTAATTTGATTTGCTTGAAGGTATTTTTTTTTTTTGATAAAGATAGACAAACTTATGAATAATCTTGTATTACATTTTCAAATCTTAGATTTAAAAAGAAAATTTTTATGACTTTCTAACTCAAAATAATTTGCACATTTTCGTCATTTTTAGGTAGGTATTTTGTAAATATTTGAACTTTAAATGTTTATAGAAAAAATATTGTGACTATGGATTTTTAATTTTTTTCAACTGCTATTGAAACAATATATTAGGAGCCTTCTATTAAATTTTCAAGCTTTTTAACCAACACATTTTAGTGATATTTATAGAAAAAAAAGCTAAATAAATGGTAACTGAAAATGTCCGTAAAGAGCTAAAAATAAGTCAAAATATTTGGAAAATGTTATGGTTTATAGAAAATGCTAATATTAACTACCAGTGAAAATTTCATGTATATACGTTGATCTGTTTTATAGTTACGCCAAAAACCAGAATCGATTTTGTGGAAAACCGATTTTGCATAAAAATTCTTGTTTTTCCTTAATTTTTATGTCGTTTTTCCCGTCGCTTTTGAAAACTATTGGGAATTTTGAAATCTTACCTCCCGAATGCACCAACTAGATTCATTTTCCTACCAGAAAAGATACTGTTGAAGAAAATCTAAGCATTTTTACTGTCCTAAAGGCTAAAAGGTGTTGACAGACAAAAAAATAAAAATTAAATTAAAAGTTCCGTTTCACTCGGAATCTAAAATCAATATGTGGGAATTCGTTAATTTATTGCTAAATAACAAATACCTAACGATCTACCTAGACCCCCGTCTCGAAGTAAAAAAGTTTTGCCCCGAAGAAGGCCAGTCTTAAGCTTAACCACAATACCACATGATCACATCAGCATCACAAATGCATCACACTGTCCCCATCCCATAAAATACCTACCTATCTACCTAGACCCCCTGGGGGCACTTCTTTTCAACGTTGGCATCACTGCCTACCGATTCGAAAATAATAAATATAATTGCTTATCATTTTTCTGACAACTACGGCAGAATAGATTAAATACTTCCTTTTAAATACTTCCTATAGGCTATAATAGTCTAGTATTAGATACTCCGGTTAACACTTTAATAGCTTAATAATACACAATATTTTATTATTATTATTTATTATTAATATTATTTAAAAACGGATAATGCCCGTCAGATACCTATTATATAAATTAATGAAATTATTCAATTTAAACAAATTAAAGCCAACACTTCTCGTTTGCAATGCTGTTTATTATTAAATGTTACAGTGTGTATTGCAGTTTCTATGTGTTTGAACACATTAGGTAGCCCTCGAATTGAACCCACAAACACACGACACCATCACCGGACACACAATCGACGTCTGGAAGATGGACTTTTGGAAATATATCGTTAGGATTAAGATACCCAGTCCAGTGAGCTATGTGAGCGCGATCCTTTTATTGATTTTCACGACGGGTGTCTACAAACAGTTGACGTTGACCCAAAAGACGGCCAACAATTGTGAGATGACGTTCATGTTCGAATACCCTCATTTTGTTGTGAGTGCAAACGGTTTAGTATTTAAATGTGCCTTAATGATGATAGTGATACCAAATATTAGCTGAATTAATTATCTTGTTTTCCAGGAAATATCGGTGCCCATGAACAGGGGAAAGTATAATTTGTACGCTTACACCGAAGGCCAAACAATGGAGAAAATAAAATCTATGAAGTTTTATGGTACGCCAGTTGTTTTTATACCCGGACACAGTGGATCGTATAGACAAGGTAATAATATAAATAATACTATAATTACTCATAAATAGTTATCAAACAATTTTTTTTATTAAACTATTTATGTTTTATTCATTACAGTTCGGTCCATTGCTTCGGTTAACATTAGAAAGATGTACCATATTCAATCAAATATAAAATTTGATTTTTTTACTGTCGACTTAAACGAAGAATATTCTGCTGTCTTTGGAGGTGTCTTATTACAGCAAACTGCATTTGTTTCCCAGTGTATTGATACCATCATAAAAACATATGAATATGACTACAAGCCTACGTCGATCATACTTATTGGACATTCTATGGTAATCTATTATTTATCCCAATATTTCAATAGTTTACGTCTAGGTTAATCTAGTATGTGATCTAATCATAGAAAAATAGAAATTACTTCTTATTTAATATTTTAAATAATTAATTGAATTAGGTACTAATTACGATCATGTTGGGATGTTGTTGGCTATTAGTGGTGTATCTTTTGGGGGGGGGGGGGGGGCCAAATTTTGTACACAATAAAACATGTATATAAAAATATGAATGTCTATTAAAAATTGTATATACCCCCCCTACTTGAAAAAATCCTAGTTACTATATTGTATTATTATATTATTATATATTTCCAGGGTGGTATTATAGCCAAAGGATTGTTCATTGATCCTTTGTTTGATACCGAACTCGTAGAACTGATTATTACTCTGGCCACTCCCCACAGGCCTTTGTTTTTAGCCGATCACTATATGGATAGCTATTATGACCAAGTGGAAAAAATTTGGGGGAACGGATTAGACAAGCCAAGGTCTTCATTTCTATCAAATATTTCACTATTATCGATTGGTGGCGGGCATCGAGACTTAATGGTTTGGCCTTGCCTGACGTATACTCCACATGCAGACATAAATGCATTAGTAAGTACTCTATTTTATATAAAAAATTGAACTAAGCTTAAAAACATTATTGAATTCAAACATCCAATTGATTTCCAGAGTTTAGCTATACCTGGTGTCTGGACTTCTACTGATCATCAGTGTATATTGTGGTGTAAATCATTGGTAAAATCCATTGTAAGAGTGCTATTTGACTCCGCAGAATCTGAATCGGACGATACAATTTATGAGTGGAGAAAAAAAGTATCTTCTTATCATTTTGACAAAGTATGTAACAATAACTTTTAATCACATAATAGCTAATAATGGATCTATTTAATCTGCAATACTCATTAGTCATCTGTGATATGAGTGATATTCTCTTAATTGTATATTATATTAATTTACAGAGAAGTAATGGAAAATGGTTTCATTCTAATTTACACCCTATTACTGTAAAATTGAATGAACCTAACGTGATTGAATGGAATGAAACATATAAGCTTCAAAGATCAATTTCATTGGAGAAAGGAACGGCAATGCCAATTGTCGTCCATCTGCCATTGTTTGAAAAATCCTTTAACTATGAAATGACAGCCGAAGCTGTAAATATTGAATACCACGATTGGGTGTTTTCGTGCAAACCTGATTATCATTCAAAAAAACACTGGTATGATATTAAATTGAATTACTTTTTTCTAAAATTTTCTTTCAAAATACTATATACTATATTATTTTAGTTTATTTGGTACAAATTGGTCTTCTAACAGTACCATATCAGTTTCGAAACATATGAAAAGGAGACATATTACTTTAAATATGCCTGACATAACTAAATTGGGTCATTCAAATTTGGTTTTCAAAATCAAAAACACCAAAAAACCGGTAAGTTTTCTAAACTTTAATAACCTAAAAAGTAATCAAAATCATATAATAAATTAATAACACTTCTTTCTAGACTGCTTTGAATATTGACTTGTATGAAGCTAGTGATAGAACTAATCAAATATTGTGGCGATTTTGGTATGGAGTTTTTGATAGACACCTGTTGTGGAAAGTCAATGTTTTTGAGACGATACAGTACAAAACTATTCTGCGTGGTTGGTCAGCTAGTATATGCATGCATTGTGTGTATAATGTGCACATGGTACCCATCAAATGCTCAAAAAAACATCATCATGCTGTTTCTAAATTTATTGTACCATGGACACAAGGTGTTTTGCATGGTATCACTAGGTAAGCTAATTCTCGCCAATTGAAATCTATTTTTAAGCTTTTCAGAGTAGTGTTGATAGTCTTACTTATAATTTCAGTGACAGTTATGTGGAACCACTGAGAATATCTTTAGAAAACATTCCTCAGTCTAATGCAACAAAAAATCCATATTTGCAATTCATATTAGACCCAACATGCAACTATCGTATTGAGTAAGTAATAGAAGCCAACTGTGCACAGTTGCAGTACAAATTTGTTTACTTTTAGATTAGATCTATCAATTATGGACTCAATTGGAACAATAGGATTGAAATACGGTTTGACATTTCCCTCGTACATTGGAATCATAATACTGTTGGTGTTGTCAAATCAATTTTCACAGTTGGCCAATTCAACTAAAGATGATTGCTCAATATATCACAACTCCTTACCATCCATAATCAAAGTTTTTAAGACTCTAGCTGTTACAATTTGTTTTTTGACTGCTATGTAAGATCATTAAGTAAATTCATTTTTATAATTAGGTATTCCTGGGTTACAGTGGTATTTCTTTTCTAGCCAAAGCCAATGGCCTAACATCAATAAACCAATTGGTGGTATAGACTGGCTTGGACATCCATTAAAGACAATGGTGTTTTCGTCATTGCTATATTGCATAACCAATTCATTTATGTATTTTGCTAGTGTAGCACTATGGATGATGATGTTGTTTTGGGGGAAAGCCATAAACGAACTGTTGGTCCGGTAAATACTAGATATAAATTAAGTTTTTTGTTTTAATAATTGAGTATTCTATTTGTTAACTATTTTACAGGTTTATAATGAAAATGTTGCGAAAAAATGATACATTATCTGACTGGATATTGTATGGATTTGGCAAATTACCAATAGCTGTTTCAATGATAGCCATTTTAATTTCTTACCATACTTGTGGCACTGTAGGACTTGTTATTTCAGCATTTTTCTATTATTTCTTAGTAAGTTAATTTATTCTATTAATTAAGTCTATATTTTACAACTCCTTCATTTTAATTGTAATATTATTATTAAATAAGTTTGGTAACATTAACGTAATTTATCCTTCATCGATATCCAGTGTATTATCAATGCTAAAAAATATATTTTCATCCTAAAATTGATTAAAATATAAAAAAAACAATTAAAAGTTATTTAAATACTTGATGTTACAGCTGTGCACAATGGTACAAGACTGCATTGACCAGTTAATTTATTACCCAGTGATATTTTTCAAAGATTATTTTATGAAGGGCGAAAAACCAGGTTTGAATTTATCGCTGACATCCATTCACCTGCACTTTTCACTGTTTTTGTTGTGGTTACTTATTTGCGGTTGTCATCTTCCGTGCAGCATTGAATGGGCACGAAATTACCAGTAATATTTTTTTATTTGCTTTGAATTAAACTTTGAAATTAATTTTTTAAAACTCTGTTACAGTCACAGCAAATACTTAGATCCAGATCCATCATGGATTTCCTCTTTAATATTAAATACATGTGCAGGTATTTTATGGCAGATGGACATTCCCAAACGTAATTTGTAAGTAATCATTAAAAAAAAAAATCATTTTATTATGCAAAATGTATTGTGTGTTTGTGTTTTAGAAAATTCTACGCACAGTTAAGCAACCTTTGTGTGGCGGCTTCAATAATTTTGTTTTTGTTCTGCCAGACGGCATTATTTCGAATAGCTCCAATTTTAACATTGGTTTTTTTAATCATCACTGTGCACCAGTGTTTTAGTTCTTGGATAGGAGTACAAGACTTGATTGATAACCAAGTAAGTAGTGCTAATGATAAGGTGCCACAAAAAAAGGTGGAGTAAATGATAAATTGTAAGTAAGTTAATAATAATATGATATTATAATATATATATATATAGTTAATAGGGGTGGACTGGCAAGGGTGTGCTAGTGTGCTAATGTCCTAATTCAATGTTGGGAAGGGGTGGAAGATTATTTAACAATATTAAATTATAATTTATTACTATTAGTTTATTATTGTATAATACTATTGTCTGGTACACACACCTTTTTTTTCCTTGGTGCCGAAGACCGAAGGACCTGCTGTCAGTACGCCCCTGATAGTTGATTCTTTTATTTAACAGTGAACATAATTTTTGTTAATTGTTGTGTTTTGTAAGAAGAAACCATTTTATAACTTCTATATCAGGGATTCTTAAACTTTGTATTTCTATTATTGTTGGCCCACACAAATGCAGCATTTTACTATTTTGGCCCATCAAAGAAAACAGATTGGCCATCACTGGTTTAGAAGTGCACATAATGATGTTGAAATCTGATTTCAATGATGAATATCTGATGTTGAAGCAATAGTTTATATTTATAACTTTTACCATTATAAGTATTTAATAAGAGAAAAAAAAGGCATAAACTTTAAATACTGAAAACTATTAGCTCTATGTTGATACTTTTCAGTTGTAGTAGATATTCCAGCTGCCAAGCCCCTAGACCACCAGTATTCTCGATTCTATTATTTTATTCAGCACTATAACTTTCCAAGTGTATAATGTAAGTTTATGTTATTTTACTGACGACCATCAATTTTTAGTTGTTGGTTGTTGATTGATATTAGGCACCTTTGCAGGTTTTTTTTCTGAATAAAAATAAAATACTGTTATTTTATAAATTTAAAGTTTAAATTAAGGTATCATAAACCTTAAATACAAATTATTGGGAACAATTTTAATGATTTTTATTTGGAGGATTTATTTTAAATGTTTGTTATTAAAAGTTTTATGAAAATACTTGAATGTGATAAAAAATAATAATAACAAAATAAAATTGTTCTCAATAATTTTTTTGACAGGTATTACGAATAATGATACTTTAACTATTACTGTTTCATCACGATATTGGAAGTTGTAAAAAATACAATAATTGACTGAATTATTGTGTTCTCTGTAAAAAGAATCTCTGGCTATAAATCAATTAATTTATGTATACAGTGGAGTAGTTTTTATTTTTTTATTTTTTTATTTTTTTGGGGAGGGGGGTTATGATCGGGATAGATAATCTATCATAGATCCACCTTGAGCCTTTTTATTTTATATTATAATATAATGTCCCTTCCGTAGTTAAGGCTCTACATATAATGGGTATGCTATGCCACCATTTTGCAACTCTTTTATCAATGATAAAATAAAATAAAGGGGGAGAAATTCATATCCACATAAGATTATTAGTCGCAAGATAGCGGCGTAGCATACCTGTATCTATAGTGCCCTACCGTAGTGTGCTTATGTGTAAATGTATTTATGATATGGATAGTCGTGATCACAACTCAGAAGTGTCCCATATCTTATCTTATCTTTATTTTTTAAATATTCAAACCAAAACATTATGTATAATTAGTATTGTTGAAAGTCTTAACTATAAAATAAAAGACTTAATTGACCTAAAAAGTTGACTACCTATCCCTCCAGAACAAATTCATAACTACACCCCACTGTATACCATAATATATGTGTGTATTACTGAATTTTGTTAGGTTATTTTTATTTAGTTTTTACATTTTATTTGCCTCATACCAGTGTCATTTCATGTTTTTAAAGACTGATTCGTGTTTTTGATCTATTATTTATGGTTTTGTTTAGCATTTTATTTTTCTTGTTTTTATTTAGTTGATAATATCATTCATTATAAATACTAGTATTTTGTTTAAATGTGATTATTTGTTGTGAACATTGAATGTTGTATTCTATAATCTATATGTTAAAACTTATAACTCTAAGTCATATACAATCTTCTAGTCAGTTGTGTAAACTCAATAACTTTTTAATGTCAACATAAATATCCATATATTATGATCAATTGTCTTCAATGTTTCGTTACTCATTATTCATTAGTAATTAGTCATTAGCAATAGATAGTATTAATAAAATATAAGTAACATAACAAAAATATAAACGTCTATATTATATTGTTTATCTGATCTAGTTGCGACGTATATATATTATATTATAACAACTATAATAACTTATTAGTAGGTACCATTGATTATAAATACTACATAGTATTTATAATCAGCGGTAGGTACATACTAATACAATCATTGTGTAGGTATTATATTTTTGTGTCTAATAAATTCATTGATTGCAATTTGAAATTAACACAAATTTAAATAAATGTATTGTACATTGTACTTATTGTTGTGTTTACCCACCCATTTTGTTTTTTACCATTTGCTTTGCAGTCAAAACTACAGTCTGTGCCAAAAGTGTGCCATCGTACTGTGACGTTAAACACCCTTGTTTTTCATTAAACTAGTTGAGTTGTGGAAATGATTCTTAAGAGGACGTTTTATCGACATTTGTTGTCTCCGTCTTTCAAGTGCGTAACATAGCAAATTGTACGCTCAGCAGATTACGTTTAGCTCTGTTAATTTAATAATTAGAGTGTATTGACATCTTATAAAATTTAAAGGCAAGATTATTATCTAGGCAATCGCATGGGCTTTTTATTATATTTTTATTTTAAAGCGAGTTATGAGTATTTAAAGATGTACAAACAATTTCCAATTATAAAATACTCATAAAAACCACTCGCTTTAACGTCACGTTTGTGGTCCTAGTACGACAACGCCGCGCGCCTGGTCTGGCCATGTAGTAATGGCGTTTCGGCGGCGGTGTCCTACTCCAAATCGGTTTCTCACACCCTCTCGACCCGCTCGCGCGTCATCTTTACCTGCTTATACTGTATTTTTTCATCAGGTCATGTAGGTCCGTTACCCTGGCACCAGTACTGTAAAAATCATCGTACATTTCAACCACACGTCCACACATGTGTGCACACCGCAGTATCATGTACAATTTTGTACAACCCTCAAAATTAATTTTCAATTTACGGATGTTTCGGCATCGTTACCACTTACCCCAGCACCTGGGTCCATCACTTTTAACATATTTCAACCGTGCAGTATTAATTAATAATTATGATGCTGTGCTCTTGATTTTGTGCAACCCTTCCCAAACGCTCAAAATTAATTTTCAATTTACGGATCCACTAGGTAGAGTTTTAACAGTTTTAAGTAATAGATCCGGGTGCTGGGGTAATGTTACTAAGCATCCGTAAATTGAAAATTAATTTTGAGGGTTCTTAGGATTATACAAAATAGACATATGTTCAAAATAATTAAATAAAGCACCTACGTAATACTGCATGGTTGAAATCATGAAATCGTAGGCATATATATTGATATGCGCGTCCCCTATCATACCCTGCAGGCTGCAATATACATTGCCAAGAACCAACATTGTTAAAACGAGATAGTCCTGTTCGGCTGTGCATCTGATGGAACCTAAATAGTATATGCTACTTTTTTTAACAATGTCATAAAAGGGAAAGCTATACTTTTGGTGGAAACAGGCTATGTTTATGTTATAAACATAAAGTGGGTAAACTTAGAGATTCGCACTCGACGCGACTAAGCAGAGTTAAAATAGTTTTGATTGTTGATCAATATTGATTGTCTTTAAGAGGAAAAAACGTTTCAGCGTCGTCCAAATAATTTCACGCGACTACAGACACCTGCTACATGCGTGATTTATATTTTAGATTATAATATTAGATATTACCTACTTATTATATAGGTACCTCCTACCTAGACATTATTGTCATTCCTGTGAAGTTTGAGTTGTTTCGAAATTGCTACTGCACAGAGTTAATAATACTTGAGTAAGTATATATTATTTTGTATATTTATAACTACCTAGATATAAGATATTATCTACTCGAGATTATTGAGTAGGTATAGGCACTTACGACTCACTCTATTGTTTAACATATTAATACCCATAGGTAAACAGCTTAATGATTTTCGCATTTATCTTTATACCTACTAAACTGTAAAGCACGAGTATAAATGCCGTCTATAAACGTGGCTACTTGGGCCATCGCCATATTAATCATCATCCGACGAATTTATATTCTCTTAAAATACCTAAAATATGATCTTGCTAATATTCTCTAAAAAACCTTGAAATATTCTCATTATATTCTCTTAAAAATATAAAAAATATGCAAAAATAATCAATATACATCATTATTTGCTTAAATATGCAATTTTTAATTTGTTTTTTCAACATTATTTTAATAATGAGGTATTAATTAGGTATTAAAAGTTGAGTACCTATTCTAATGGAATACTATTTCACTTTAGTAAGAGTTGGAAATGATAAAAAGAATAAATGTAAATGTTCAAAAAAATGTTTCTGGTATATTAGAATTCAAAACAAATACAAATTTTTTCTCACAATTCACGAAATATTCCAAATTATGCTAATTGGGTTAAACATTTTCTAACCCATGAAATATTCTCAAATATGTAAAAAAAACTTTTTTCTACGCATTCGGAATTGAAAGAATCGTCCACATTTTTTACTCTCATAAGACTGCATAGACCCAGTAACGATATGTAAAAACATATAAATCCTGTCTTTATTCATCGTATATTATTGTAATGTAGACATTTTTCTACGTGTTGTTTGTCAAATATCTGAAACCAAGTGAGAAGGTACCTTCTAATAACCTGTATAATATATTATACCACTGAGGCATAGATCGAAAAGACTTATGATGTGTTTTATGACTTATAAGTCTTTACTGCTGCAATAGTTGATGACAGACGGGAAAAAAGCACAAATCATTGTAAAATAAATATATTCTTTTGCTCCTCTCAGAATCTATGTATGAATCTAATGTTTTCATTGATTTTTATTTTCCACCGTTTTGTCCAAGTTAATCATATTTAGGTAGGTGACTTTGGATCATCCGACAAGCAGTTATGAGGAATCCTGATGTGACG